GCGAGAAGACATGGTGAGTCAGGAGTAAGACTGGGAGGCAAAGCAGAAGTGAGGAAGGCATGGCCTGAGTTTCAAAGAATCCGGAGGAATTTCTCATGGACGTGCCTCTGCAAACACCTGTTGACCCGCTGCCTGCAGCTCTTGACCAGGGAACCTGTTGCTGTATCTCCATAGCCCGCAAGCCCTCGACTTCTAAACCGGGTCGGCGCCTCCTCGGCTCTGAATTTCTGAACCGTGGACAGAGCTCCCAAGGGGCTCTGAATCTCAGAACCGCGGACAGAGTTCCAAAGCGGACTGTGAGTTCAGACCCGTGGACAGCTCCCTGCTCGGCCGAAGCGGCCGTCAGCACCACGGGCAGCACCCCCCGAAGGCTACAGGAAACCCTTTCAGCACCGCGGACAGGGCTACGCTTCCCTAGACTCAGGCCGCTCCATCCCTGCAACTTCCCGGGCTTCCCTCCCCAGCTCCCTGAGCGCCTTTACACTGGCAGGCACCGAGGCCGCTCTGGCCTGGCTCTTCTCCTCTCCTCTCCTCTCCTCTCCTCTCCTCTAAGGCCCCTGGTGTTAGAGATACCGTCCAGGCTCTCTAACTCTCATTCAGAACTAAGGCGAGGTTTGGAGGGAGCTCAGGAGGAAAAATAGACAGTCCCGAATCTCCCCAGCTCGCCAGCACGCTGCCCTAGACATGCAGCAGCCCCAGCGGGTTCCCCAGCTCCAGGGTCTGCGGCTCCCGGCAGCTCGGATCTCCGGTAGTCCCAGCATGCTCACCTCCAGCGAAGAAGACGCCCTTGCGAGTGTAGATGCAGGCGAGGCTCATGATGTGCAGGTAGGACAGCCGGACCTTGTCCGCTTCGGCCAGCGGCAGCAGCTCCTTGAGGTTCCGGATCTCGGCGTTGATCTGGTCCCGGCGCGCCTTGGAGGCGCCCTTGGTGGAGCGGTACATGACCGGCGGCTGCGGAGCTCCAGCTCGGGCGCCCGAGCACCTTCGCTCCCGTCCCGACGCACCGGCGGCTTCCTCCTCCGTGCTTCCCAGTCTCTCGCTCAGGCTCGCTCTCTGCTCTCCTGGGCTCCGCTCGGCTGCGCTGCCCCCCTCGCCTGCCTCACGCCGCCTTATATAGCTCCTGCCAGGCGTGGGGGGCTCGTTTTAGAGCTGGGGGGCGGGAGAGCGGGAGGCTGGGCTAAGCGAGCTGCAGCGGGAGCTGCTGACTGGGGAGGGGGGCTCCTCCTCCCGCCCGGCTTCCGACGTCATCCCATGACGTAGAATGAGAGCGGGAGGGGGGCAAGCGAGGGGGGAGCAGGAGGCTGCGGAGGGGGCCGAGCCTGGCGGGAGCTGAGCGGAGAGGCAGGCGCTGCGTTAGGAAAGCTTGAATGGGGTGTGGGGACCCAGGCGTCCGAATGCGTTCAGTTGAGGGAAGCGACAGGGCCAGGATTAGGGCGGCCTGAAGCCCCCGGCAGGAGTCTGCAGAGGGCAGAGAGGGGCTGGCACTGACACTAATTTTTCTGAGGAGTTGAGGGAATGGGGAGGAACAGGGCTGTCTACAAATTCCCCTCGTTACTTGCCAGACAAGGTCACGTTCACATGCAGGGAAGGAGGACTTTCCTTGGCCTCCGTGGGACAGGTCACAGCTGGGGTTCCTCTCTGAGGACTACTCAACCTGGGATTCCCTTGGCCATTTTCAAAAAACAAATCCCCTCCCCCTCTTCCCAAACCGAGCCTTGGCGGTTTATCAGGGGGTATTCATGGGGGTCTAAGTCCCTAGGATGGGTGGAAAGACGGTCCGGTGGGAAAGGGACCAGCTGAATTTGGCGTTGATATTGTTTTCTCACAGCCACGAATAGAAACCAACACCAGCGCTAGGCTGCAGTGATTCTTGGTTTCCCTGTCAGCTAATTAACCTTAGCTGCTGAAGGGGGAAACTGAGGCAGGGACGCGGGGGACAGCGAGGACCTGGATCTGCACTTAGGCATCCCTTCCCCCCTCCCCCACCCCGTTACCGGCCCCCAAGCGAGCGCTTTCCCCCGCCCTGCTGCCAGCCTCGGTCTCCCCGCGGGCTGGGGGCGGGGGCGGGGCCGGGGGAATCCCAGCTCCATATTAGGACAGGAATCCTCCGGCGGCAGCCGCGGCTGCGGCGGCGGCGGGCGGGGCCTGACTGCCTCCGCACAGCTCAGCAGGGCTCCCCGCCCTGCCTAGGCGGGCAAGATGGGGGAGCAGCCGAGAAGAGAGGGGGCCTCGCCGGACCCTCCGTGACCCCTGCAGCTACCAGGGACCCTGTAACTTCGCCAGGCTCCCTCTACCCCTCTCCACATCTGTGGCGCTAGGGCTGCTGGCTCTGCCTCTCCACCTTCAACTCTCCACCTCTCACCTTCGTTTCTTTTTCTCCTAGCGTGCTTGGTGGTTGGCTTAGCTTAGTGCCCCGACCCCTGAAGCTTCCCCTTTCTTTATTCTCCATAGCCTGTCACCTTTGCCCTATCCGATACCCCCCCCTTTCTTTCTCTTTTCACCACAGATTATTGCTCTCTACAGGGTCGAGGAGATGCCGTTCTTATCCGGGGATTCAATAATGCAAGAAGCAAGAGGGCTAGCGAATGTTCTTATCTGAAATATCATTTGATGGAGTAGCTGTGTGTGCATGGAATCACTTAAGGGGCTGGAAATCAGACCACTTAAAAATTGGGAAGTCCCAGTCACACAGGAAGCCTGGAGATGAACTTTGACATCAAAAAGGACAGTTTGAGACCAGGGAATTCCCCACTCCTCGTGGAAAGGGGTGGTAGCAAGAGAGGTAGAGTGGGAGGAGAGGCAGTCGAGGAGACGTATGTCTTAAAAGAGGGGTACAAAGCTGTGGAGACCCTATCCTGGTGTCTTATGCATTTGGCAGAGGTTGGGGCCATCCTGTGGTAAGTGTAACAACTGAGGTGGAGGGAACGCTGTCCATGTGTCTGTCTGCCACTGTCTGTAATCCTATTGACATGGATGACAGAGAGATGGTTCCTTCTGGACATGGGTCTGTGTTGCTTCTTTCATTTCGATCTGACCTCTGATGTGCCCATCCACCTCTCTCTCTCAAGCTTCTATTTGAACAACACCTTGATCTTTGGGTCCCCTTCCATATGAAATTCCAGGGGGGTTGTTCCTGTGTTCTTCACCCACTGATGCTAAAGCTGCCTGGGAGAAATTCTGAGTGTCCTTCTCCACAATCAGAGGAGTCTACTGGGTGGGTCCCTTGGCCTCCAGAAATCTGAGCGAATCTGCACTAAAGGAATGGAGCTCTGGCAGCTGTCCGTGGTGCTGAAAAAGTCACCACGGAAGTGAGATAGGCTGCAGTTTGCCTGGGACATCAAGGTAGGGCCTGGGTTCCCACAGGCCTCAGAGTGAGCCTCCCCTTTGACTGTCCCCTTATTCTCTGTAGATGGATATGGGGGAGTTGCAAGGGGCCAATATTCCTGGGCTCTAGTAGGAGTGAAGTAAGCAAGGGAGGAGAACTGGGCTCAAGGGAAGAGCCCCTGGCTTTTTCCAGAATGGAATAGAAAGAAGCACTTTGGAAGGGAAGAAGGGTCTAGAAAGGGACAAGGGAGGGGGTAGAGAAGAGCTCATCCTAGTTCACCCACTCTGATTCAAGTTGAGAAGCTCTGTATGCCCCGATGTCTCCTCTCCCTAGGCCAGCTCCCACTCCCCTTGCCTCCCACCTCCATGAAGCTATTTTTAACTGTGCAGAACCAAAAATAGCTTGGCAGCAGCTTCAGGCCGTGGGAGAGGAGCTATTTATATCACCAGTGACGGTTCCGAAATAGCAAGCAGGAGGAGGGGGGTGGCTGGCACACTAGAGAGCTCCTGGCCGCTGCTAAAAATACTGGCAGTGTGAGTCATCCTGGCCTGGCTGAGTCACCCCACTCTCTCCCCCAAGTGGCAGGCAGCAGCAGCAGAACAAGCTAAGAATTAGAAGCCTGAGATGGGGGAGGCATCAGAGCCTGCTGGCTGTGGGAAAGTGGGCAAGGGAATGAATTGGGAGAGGGGCTTTGGGGTGAGTGTGTAGAAGGAATGGGAGAGCAGAGCCTCTCAGCCAAACCTACTGGGCAAGCGTGCAGCATCCCCAGCCAGCTATGCACTACTGCTCAGGAATGCTTGGGCAATGGAAGGAAAAGAGCCAGACTGTGTGTGTGTGTGTGTTCACTTGACTGAGAGTGTGTTTGTATGTCCTGTGTGTCTGCTTCTAAACCTGTCTGAACATATTTGTGTGTCTTTATCTGTGTATCTGTTTGCATGTGTGTTTGTAGCTGCAAGTCTCTAGCCCTGTATGTGTTTACCTATGTCTGCATCTATGTCTGTCTTTTTTAAAAAGTCTCCAACTTCTATGTTTGTGCCTGTGTGTATTTATGTCTACAACTTTCCATATGCCTCTCTGTCAGTGTCTGTGTTTGTGTCCATATCTGAGTCTGCTCTGGGTCTTTCTCTCAGCATCTGATGGCATGGTGGGATGTGCATGCATCCCCAAACTCAATATAGTTTCTGTTGCCCTCTCTGATGTCACTTGTTGGGCTCCTGCACCATCTATGTCTTTCTCACCTCTTTCTACCTAGCATCTCCCCCTCTTTCCAAGAACCCCCTAACCATTTGTGAAGCTCTCTCTGTTGCATGCAATCTGTAGTAAAAACATGGAGGAAAAGAGCCCCACATGACCTCTCCCTTTTCTCTTGAATCATCCTGAATTCTCCCTGGCCTGCAGGAGTAAGTGGTTTTCCATCACTCCATATTTGGAGAGCTGAGAGAAGAGAAGGGCTTTCTTTAGTTCCCAAAAAAAAAATTCCTGGTGTGGGCACAGGCATGCGTAGCGCGCATGCACACACACACAGGCGCACATACACATGCACGCACACACACACAACTGAGAGAATGAGAGAGAGAAAAAAATATCAAGGTCCCTTCTTTACTGAGACGAGCTCGCATCTGTTGCCATAGCAACCCACCCACTCTTTCCCCGAAAAATCACCAAGAAGAGGTGATGGCATCGAGGAGGGATTGGCTGATTCCTTTCTTTATTATTTTTTCCGAAAAAGGGTTTTTGTAACAAAAACAGGCTGTGAGAGCTCTTGCCCCTGTCTTGCATAGCTTTATTGGGAACCTGGTGGGGGGGCATCACCCCCCAGCCTTTATCAGAGAAGAGGAGGTGTATCTTTTCTAGAGATTTGGAGGAGGATGACCTCCTGGGAAGGAGTTGAAGGGTGGATGAGGAATCTGCTTCTTCAGAACCGGCATGGAGACTCCGGATACTAGTCTGGAGATTTGGAGCAAGAATCTTGACAGAGGGCTGTCAAAGTGTTATCTTGTCTTGCTCTGGACAAATGTGTCTATGAGAAAGAGAAAGCAGGGGGAAGGGAAGGGAAGTGAGGAGGGATAGAAAGAATATGAATGAATGAATCACTGGATGGGGCTTCAGAGAAGATGACAATATGCCAAAGGATGCAAGCTTGCAGTAGTGGTCAAACCAGACAGGTGGGCAAGATGGTGCAAGAAATATGTATTGATGCAATTGGTGGTGGCGCAAGTCACCAATGAGACCACAGCTGCAACTACTTAACTTGTGGCCATAGGTGAATGTTCCAGAGGAGCACTGAAGCCCATTTTTCATAGTTCTATTCCCAGTCAGAGTCCCAAAGGCCTCCTCCAAAGCCTGGCCACCAGCCACTGCAGCCACATCACTCTCTCAAGTGAACTGTTGCCTCCTGCCAAATGACTGGATGGTGGAAAGAAAGGGATTCCTTGTTTCCTCCCGTGCTTGGCTTGCTACAGAAATGGGGTCACTTGGGGCTGGAGCTTGGAAAGACAGATGAAGAATCTGACCCTGGAGAGAGACACCTTCCTTTCTGACAGGCTGCTGCCACCCTCAGCAGACAAGGGCATGGCCAGGTGAAGTTGGGTTGGGCAGTGGGTGCAGCTCCACTTAGCATCACACAGAGGGATGAAAAGACTTCAGATTTGCTCTGACCTGTTAGACCCATTCTCATGACAAATCTGACTGATATCATTATTATTATTTATACACAGAGCGCAGTGGCCTGATGATAGCTCACTGCCACCTCAAACCCCTGGACTAAAATAATCCTATGTGCCAGGCTCTTGAGTAGCTGGAACTACAGGCATAAATCACTACACCCAGATAATTTAAACTTTTTTTCTGCCCAGGCTGGTCTTGAACTCTTGACCTCAAGCAATCCTCACACCTTGGCCCCTCAAAGTGCTGAAGTTACAGATGTGAGCCACGGCACCCAGCCTTGACTGATATTATGATTCTTATTTGATAGATGGTGAAACAAAGGATCAGAGATGGAGAATGACTTAATCAAAGTCACACAGCAAGTCTCTGGCAATGCCAAGCCTCATCCCTAGCTCCTGCTCCCAACCTAGGCTTGTTCTCTTGCACCACGTGGTAGGGCTTAGGGCTAGGGTTTAAAAATTATGGACTGCAAATCTAGCCACATCTAGCCTGCTGCCTCTTTTTGTAAATAAAGTTTTATTGGAATATAGTCACATCCATTCATTTACTCATTGTCTATGGCTGTTTTCACATTACAATGGAAAAGCTGAGTAGTTGCAACAGAGACCATATGGTTCAAAAAGCCTTAAGTACTTTTTGACCCTTTTTCACTAACTGACCCTTTACAAAAAAAGTTTGCCATCCTTAGACTAGAGGATGAGTTCACACCAGGAATAGCTCCACTTGTTTCTTTTTCTCACCCAGAATGCTCTCTTAGTCCAGGGTATGCCAAGCTATCATTTAAGCTCCCTTTACTATTCCAAATGCCATGGAGAAGTAGTGCTCCTGGACACCTTAACGGAGGAGAGGTGGGAAGCCCAATGGGCCAGGCTCCTTATTAGCTTCCAGTCCCCTTTGTGTCATCCAAGCAGGATGACGCTCCACTTCCTGCAACAGGAGTTGGAACGGGCAATGAGGAGACAGGGTACCTCAATAAATCCCTATTCCAAACCTAGTCTTCAGGCTGCATTTTGGGAAGGGGGAGTCTCGGGGCTGGTGATTAAGGTATTGTCAGGAAGACAAAGTGTATGTATGAGAGGAAAAGGAGGGTATTGTGGGATCTTGGGCCTCCTGATGCCTCCAGTCTGACCCAGGGGAAGAATCTCTCTATGTCTTCTCAGAGAGGTTGATTAACTTGCCCAGGATCACACAGCTAGAATGAGATAAATCCACAATTGAACCCAGGTTTTCCTGACTTCTACTTTTTGTTTTTGTTTTTTAACTAGATTGTTCTTTTGGATTGGTGGATTTGAAACCAGAGAAAGGTTTTCTAACAGATTCCTAAGCACATCCCCAACCTGCGTCCACAGCTCTACGGTCAGTGCAGTGAGAAAAGGAGCCCCACGCAGAGCTGGCTTGTGCAGTGGCTGTGTTGTCTTCCGCTGCATCTTAGCAGGCTGTTTTCCTTTTCCTGAGGCCTTTTCATTATGCTATCACTCCCTCAATTCTACTTGCACATGAAAGCATTCAGAACATTTTATCTATTTATGGTTATGAAATCAACAAAGCTCATGTAACGAGGGTGCAGGCTGGCACCCACGCATTGAGACGGCCAGAGCTGGGTGAAGGAGCTGAGAGCCAGGAAGGTGAGGGGCATAGAACCATGGAGTGGGTGGGAGAGGGAGAGTGGAGCCCAGGTGGGAAAAATAAAACTTTTCTGAGCAACGTCCTGAAGGCAGGGCTGTGTGAAGAGGACACAAGGAATGCGGCGAGGAGCATGTCAGAGCAGCCACATTCCAAGAGAGAAAGGAAACCTAATCAACTAAAGCCACTTTCAAATGCAGAGCAGTGACCAACACTCCTGAAGTGCCCTGGGGAGGCTGGAGGAGACGACTTTCCCCACATTCATTTTCAGAGTCCTCTTCATCACCACTCCCAGCTGGAGAATTCCTCCTTGCCCTGCCAATCCTCCAGTGGAGTCTGGGGACCCCTCCAGTGTCCTCCAGCCCTCTGTGCTTCCTCATCACTGTGATCTGCACACTGCATTGTCCCTGAGTGTTTACTTGGCTGTCTCCACTATCAGCATCTACATCTGCTCTTCATGTTCCCAGCATCCAGCACAAGGCCTGGCACAGGGCAGGGGCTTGGGCATGTAAGTCATTCATGCAACCAACAGCTAGGGGCGGAGTCTGTGCCAGCCTCTGTGGTGATGACAGCTGGTCTTGGCCTCATGGAACCTGCAGCCTGGTGAGAGAGCAAGGGGTCTATCCAGCCACTTCAGTGGGCTACTGCTGTCAAGGAGGCACGCTGAGAATTCAGGAGAGAAAGAGGGGTGACCCTGCTGGAGGAATTGGCACTGGCCTCCCCAAGTTGGTGCATTTGAGTTGAGCTGCTGGTGACAAGTCAGTGCTGACTGTGCCAGGCTGTGCTGGGTGGGTGGTTGGGTGGACGAGGAGTGTGGCCTCATAAATGAGACTCAACACAGTCCCAGTAGCCACCAAAGAAGCCACTGTAGCTAAGGTTGTGTTAACAGGGGCACACAGCAAAGGTGGAGAGAGGGCAGCCTCTGTCAGGGCCAGGAATTTTGGTTCTAGGACTTGTGCTATGAGTTTAAGCCCAGCCTTGAGCAGAGCAACCAGTGGGGAGGGGCTGACTGCACCTGGGGCTGCGAGGGAGGGCCCAGAGCATCCCCCAGGCCTAGCTCTGGTAGGCCCTCCAGCCTGTCTGGCCTCATGCACCCCCCCTTGCTTCTCTTCTAGTTGCATGAGCCTTCTTCTAGTCCTTGGCCTGCCACCCTCCCATCTGCCACAGTGCCTTTGCACATACTGTTCCCTCTCCTGGGGTGCCACTGCCTCTTTCCTCTGCCAAGTTCTTCCTGTCTTCCCATTGAGGAAGGCGACTCAGGCATCTAGGATCACCTCCCCCTTGACTTCCACCCCACATTTCAATAGAATAAAAGACTGGCTGACTGGCACCTCTTAAATCATCTTCCAGTAAAAAGCAGGCTTGGTATTGGGGAAACTCTGGAAGACACTGTTTTTACTTAAACAAGATCGAACCCCCACTCCACTCCTCCATCTGGAGACCAGAAACCTTTCATATGTGATTCCTAAAACTGTAAACCCAAGACTTTCATATGTGATTTCTAAGGCTATAAACCTAAGATCCTTCCAGGTGTAATATCTAGAGTGTACGCCTATATAAAGGCAGAGCTTCTCTTTGTTAGCTGAGCTGGGTCATTTAGACAAATTATCGCCTGGCTCCCAGCCGTAATAATAATAATAAACACTTCCTTCCCAGTTTGGTGTTCGAAAGGTCTGTTTTATGTGGCTGCTCCTGCTACACGTTAGCTCAGCCCAAACATGACCTCCTCTGGAAAGCCTCCCCTGACCTTCCTACTGAGGTCAAATCCCCAGTTACAGGTTCCCAGGCACCCCGGGCCTCTGCTGGCACTTGGTGTTACAGCGATTTAATACTTTATTTTGGTGAGGAATTTATTGTCTCTCCTCCACTAGACAGCAGTCACCATGGCAAAGGACCGTGACTGCTTTGCCCACTGTCAACTCCAGCATGGAGTAAAGTGCTTTATAAACATTTGTAAGACTTTTTTTTTTAAAAGACGGGGTTTCACCATGTTGGTCAGGCTGGTCTTGAACTCCCAGCATCAGGTGATCCGCCCGCCTTGGCCTCCAAAGTGCTTGGATTACAGGTGTGAGCCACCGTGCCCGGCCCAAGAAATTTTTAAAAGATGGAAGGAATAGAGAGATGTTCCTCAGAGAAGAGGGGGCTTGAGGGGGTGGTTTGGCATTTGCAGATGTTTGAAGGACCATCAAGAGGCAGAGAGAGAGACATGGTCCGCGTGGAAAGGCTGGTGGGTGGGGGTGTACCTGAAGCAGGAGAGGAGGATCTGGGCTGGGTTCTGCCTCCTCCACAGACTGCCTTTGTGACATTGGTCAGTTAAGTGGCTTAACGTCTTGTGCCTCGGTTTAATGATTTGTTAAACACAGAAATGGGGAGAATGATGGTCCCTCCACCAAGGGACTGATGTATACATTAAAGGAGTTAAGTAGTTAAAACACTCAGAAAATGCCTGGTGCATAAAAGGAGCACAAGAAATGCTCAATGGCAGAATGTTGGTCATTATCTTAACTTTAAGAAAAATACCATTTTGAGCATGGCTATGCAGAGACAGTAAGGGCTGGTTCAGGAGGTGAACCTGTCCTGGCACTGCAAGTATAGAAACAGCCTGGGTACCCACTGGCAGTTTTGGTCCAGGCCAGGTCTGAGAGCACCAGATGGAGTCAGCCAGGCTGGGGCTGCAGCCTGGAGAAGTCGAGGGATGCACAAAGCGGCCCTCAGGGCTCTGGCTCGGGCCTCAGCAAGCCCCTTTCCTGGGCAGCAGCCTTCCCCTCCACTGCTCACCAAAACCAGGGATGGAGGGCTTGGGCCAGGCCCAACACACCCTCCTGGTGCTCAGCAGCCCAGCTCCCCTTGCCATTCAGAAGCTGACCTGACCATGGTCTTCCCAGCTTAAGAGCCTCATGGCTCCCACGATCTCCCATTACTAAACCTCCTCCAGGCCGGCACCTGCTCTCTTCCCCTTCTGCTCACAGGTGCCTTGGCCTCCAGAGGCTCCAGCTTCAAGTCTCTCCTTGTTACTATCAGGGCACAGCTTGTAACATGGGAGTTTACAGATGCGGCACCTACCCACACCTTGTGTACCTGATGAGTGTTAATTCATGAAAACTCACAGCAGCCCTATGACATGCCAGCCATTATTACTCCCACAGGCCCTGGGCCAGCTGAGAGGGAGTCTACAGGGAATGGTGCAGGGGTCCCAGGAAAGACTAATGGGGTTTAAGGCTCCAGTGGTCAGAGATGGGCAGGGACTGGGCCTAGGAGCCACAAAGAAGAGACCCCCACGAGCAGGGTAAATGGTGCTCTCCATGCCTAGGAATGCGGGAACCACAGGGAATTGGGTGAACCATGGTGAACAGGGCAGAGTTACTGTTATGGCTGCTGATGGAGCAGCTTTTGAAGCCAGGAAGGGCTGAGCACTGGTGGGAGTGAAGGAGCACCAGGAAGCTTTGGTGGAAAGGACCATCAGGTTGAAGGGAAAGCTCCTGAGTTGCCAGCCCTGACAGGGTGCGAGCTGGGAGGGCCTTCTGCCAAGGAATCCAAGGTCCAGGAAGAAGAGGTGAGCTCAGTCTAGATGTCAGCGGATCGTGTTTCGTGCAGGGGAATAGTTCCGGACAGGAGCAGCGGAAGACGTGGATTCTGTTCCCAGCTCTGCCGCTAGCCTGTTAGAAGTGTTCTGCAAACCTCTTACCCTCTCTGGGCCTCAGCTTTTGTATTTGCAAAATGGTAGTGGGTTGGACCCTTTAGCCTCAAAGGACTCTCCCAACCCTCTGGAGCATCTCTGGGCCTGCTGGGCCCCCTGTCCCAGTGCCTCTTGGCTTTGGAAGTTGAATGCTACAACCCCAAGCCCCAGTTTCAGGTGGTGACAAGCCCATTGCCCAGTGCTAGGGTCTGAGTGGCCCTGAAGGCTCCCAGAGGACCAAGTCCTCGGCCTTGGATGGGCAGGGACCCTGGAGACCTGGCCTGTGTGGACGAAGGGGAGCAAGTACTGGGACTGAGCCTGTAGTTTTTCTTCTTCCACCCAACCCATCGGGGGCCATCCTCACAGCTTGGTGCTAGGTACACCAGGGGACTCACCGCTGGAGGGATCCGATGGGTTCCAAGGTGCACAAAACAGACGCCCGGATCATCCTCAGGTGGTCTACACAGCCTGTGGCTAAAGCAACTGCTGTCTCCAGCACTCCTTAGCTTCAGTCTGGTGGGAGGAAAAAAATCCCCTTGGCAGTGTCCTACAGGCAGCCACAGAGGGCCCCCATAGCCTGGCCAAGATGCTCAATTTCGGAAAATCCCAGACTCATAATTGGAGTGGGGGCCTTTGAAAGATGGTCTTGGATGACTGAGGCCTAATGCAGAGAATGGAGTGACCCAAGTGACACGGCTGGTACTTGGCGGAGATGGACCTGGGCCAGGTCCTTGTTTTCTGGTGCAGTGGCCATGTGGGCCTCCCACGGGCTGGCCTCTCGGGTCCAGGTGGCTGAGAAGGAGCCTGAGCCAGGGGGTGGGGTTCTAGGTCCTAGTCTCAGACTTGCTGTGTGACCTTGGCAAATTGTGTCTCTCCGAGGGCTGCCTGAGTCTCCCCCTTCTGCACTGACTGCGTGGCACTGGGAGTGGACGCTCCATAGAGGAACCATTCAAGGTCCCAGGGCTAGCTGTGTGAGAGTAGGAACTCTCCTCACCACCCTCGGAGCCCTCAAGTGTTGCCTTGTGTGTTCAGCTCCACCTCTGGGTCCCCCATCCTGGTCCAGAGAGGGGCCTAGGGATGTCTGGAAGCCATGCAGCTCCTTGAGAAGGGTCAGGCACTTTCCAGCTGTCCTGCGGGTCCTGGTCAAACGCCTCCAGGAAATGCTGCAGGGAGAGGGCAGAGGTCAATAGGAGCAGCAGGGGGTCCAAGGGCTGGGTCCATTTGGCTCTGGGGATCCCTGCCAGACCTCCGCAGGCCACACCTCCATCCAGAAGCCAACTGGTCCTTGTAGGCAGTCTGGGGAAAGGTTTGGGTCCAGAAAGTTCCAGAGCTGGTGGCTGCAGGAATCCTTCAATGGAGGTGACGTTTGCAAGCAGCAGCAGCCTAGTTGGTCGGTCGTGGAGTCCGTGACATCCAGAAGCTTTTCCAAAAAGCCTACCCAGGTTCAGACCGCGCTGGGGAAGGCGAGGCAGCTGGTGGCAGAGCAGAGGTGTCCAGCACCTCTGCTTGGTGCACACAGACAGGGCTGGCTGTGCTCAACTGTAAGGAACAGGGCTTGACCTCTGGCCAGGAGGTCAGCAGCCGTGGGCTCTGGCCCATGCTCTTCCTCCAGGAACATGTCGTGTGGCCCTGGTCAATCACAACTTTCCTCCGGGCCTCAGTTTCCCTTCCAGTTTAAGGAGGGGGTTGGAGCAACTGGTAAGGGGCTTTCTCGGGATCCTAACTCTGCTCCAGGCTGAGCTCAGGAAGAAAAAAGTTAAGGGGCCCGGGGCCTGGAGGGAGGCAAAGGTCTTCAGAGTTCCAGGGTGGCCCCGAGGGCAGTAAAGTCCTCACCTGGTGTTTTCACCCTGTGGCCTTGTCCAGAGAGGATCTCCGAAGGCGCTAGGCCTGGCATCTCGCTTCCTTCCAAGGTTTGGACAGAAGTCTCCCCTGTTGGAGGAGGGGGGCGGGGGCCAGGGGCAAGGGCAGGACCTCCCTTCTCCCTGGTTGAAATGTCCCCATAGTGGGTGGGGGCGCTAAGATGGGGGTGGGGGAGGGGGCGTGTGGCGCCGGGGACTCCCCGGGCCGGGCCGGAGCAGGGCTCACGGCTCGGGGGCGGGGGCAGCTCCCGGGCTCTGGTGGAGCCGCCACTCAGCTGGTTGCCTTAAAAAGGCGCCAGCGCGCGCGCATCAGCAGAAGGGCTGCGGCTCTCTTCCAAATTAGGCAAAAATTGGGAGGCCGCGGGAGACGAGCTGTGAGAAGAGCGCGGACGTCACCCGGGGCCTCCCTCTCCCTCCCGCTCCCCGCGCCTGCATCACGTCCCCATGGCAACGGCGTGCCGCGGCTGCGATGAATGAGCCACCGCGAGGACAGGCGCGCGCCGAGACGCGCGCCCCCCTCCGCTAGGCGTCACGGCTCCGCGACTGCCCAGGGGAAGGGGGTGCAGCCCGGCTCCCGGAGGAAGGGAAGCCCCCCTCAGATTCACAAAAGCCCGGGACCCATTCATTCCCAGCTGATCTTGTTGCGTCCCGGGAGCCCGGGGGCTAATCAGTCCAAGAGTCCTCTGGACTGAGCCTCTGGTTCAGGACGCCCCGACTCCCCGGGCCCCCCTTACTCGGCCTCTGCTCTCCCGGGATCAGCCCTCCGCTAACCAAAGCCTGCGGAAAACCAGGTATTTTGCAGCTTAGCGCCACTGCGTGGCCTACCATGGCGCTGCGGCGGGCGTGCTTGGCGGCTGGGGTCCCGCCGTCTATGTCGCCCTCTGGCGTCTGCAAGCAGGGAAGAGCGCAAAAGAACTCAGCAATTTTCACACCAGAACTCTGATTAACGCGGGACTCATTATTAATCGCTCTTGTGATTAATTTGTGATCAATCACACTTGTGATTAACGTTCAGCAAGCGCGCTCCATGTGTTAGGCACTGTGCTATGTGTTTTCTTCCTATAACTCCATGTCATTTTCACAGCAACTCTGTAATGCAGAATATTACTGTCATTTTATTTTATTTTATTTTTTTGAGATAGGGTCTGACTCTGTCGTCCGGCTGTAGTGCAGTGGCATGATCTCGGCTCACTGCAGCCTCCGTCCCCAGGGTTCAAGCAATCCTCTCACCTCAGCCTCCCCAGCACCACCACACCCGGCTAATTTTTGTATTTTTAGTAAAGATGGGGTTTTGTCATGTTGCCCAGGCTGGTCTCGAACTCCTAGACTCAAACAATCTGCCTGCCTCAGCCTCCCAATGTGCTGGGATTACAGATGTGAGCCCCTGTGCCCTGACGTTATCATTTTAAAGTGAGAAAAACTGAAGCTGAAAGAAGTTGTGGCTTTGCCTAAGATCCCATAGCAGCATGGGGTGGAACTGCCTCCTGAACTCATGCCTGCGAAAGTGCTCTTGAGCCCTTTCACTCCCACAGCAATTGTCTCTTTTGCTTAATGTTCTCTTTTTTTCTCCCTTTTCTTTGAGACGGAGTTTCACTCTTGTTACCCAGGCTGGAGTGCAATGGCGCGATCTCGGCTCACCGCAACCTCCGCCTCCTGGGTTCAGGCAATTCTCCTGCCTCAACCTCCTCAGTAGCTGGGATTACAGGCACGCACCACCATGCCCAGCTAATGTTTTTGTATTTTTAGTAGAGACGGGGTTTCACCGTGTTGACCAGGATGGTCTTGATCTCTTGACCTCGTGATCCACCCGCCTCGGCCTCCCAAAGTGCTGGGATTACAGGCTTGAGCCACCGCGCCCGGCAATGTTCTCTTTTTTTCCCCCTTTTCTTTATTGATAAGTCATTGTGGATACTATTTTTTGCTGTATCCATCAGGGTTCTATTGCTGAAACCACTCTTACCGTTTTAAGCATTAAGGGATTCTATACAGGGTTTCAGTGTTTATAAAATAATTGGAAGGGCTGGAGAAATGGGCTCTCCACTGGGCTTTCAAAAATGACATAAAAAACAACCCTGTAGAATCAGCCCACCCTGGGGTACTTTGAACTCTGCCACAATGTGAGGCTGGAGAATCCTCTGTTCCTAACCACTGGCTCTGAGTGACATCACTTTGGCTAAGGATTGGGAAGCTGCCACTGCGAGCGTTGATTCTAGGAATGCACTGTCTTGGCTGGCATCTGAGAGGCAGAATGTCAGTGTCAGGACTGCTGGCTCCAAAACTGGTTGAGCCTGAGCACTGGACAGCAGGATAGATGCATCCGCACTGCTGCCCATTTCATGGGAATGCATCTGGCTGGCGGCATCTAAGTCACATCCAGATCCCTTGCTGTAAGCAAGTCTGGGAAACAGTGTGTTTCTCTTTGTAGTCTCTGAAGAACAGGAAAGCACACTGGCAAATGATCGGGAGAGGTGATGAGTGAACCAATTCACCACACCTAACCCTTTCAGTCACTCAACATTCATTTGTGTCCTCATCCTCAAATATCCAACAATGACATGAACCAACACCTGGCTCCAACACAAACATTCTCTCTCTTTCTCATACAAATACAAAAGCACTAAGTCATGCTATATTAGTCTGTTCTTGCATTGCTATAAAGAAATGACTGAGACTGGCTAAATTATAAGAGAATCAGCTTAATCGGCTCATGGCTCTGAAGGCTGTACAGGAAGAATGGCAGCATCTGCTGCTGGGGAGGCCTCAGGGAACTTACAGTCATGGCGGAAGGCAAAGTGGGAGCAGGCATCTTCACATGGCTGGAGCAGGAGGAAGAGAGAGCAGGGGGAGGTGCTACACCTTTTAAACAACGAGATCTCATGAGAACTCACCCAGTATCACAAGAGAATAACACGGAGGGGATGGTGCTAACCCATTCATGAAAACGCCACCCATGTGATCCAATCACCTCCCACCAGGCCCCGCCTCCGACATGAGATTTGGTGGGGACACAGATCCAAGCCACATCACACTCCTTAAAAGAGAACATTAGTAGCTCAATGTTCCATCAGTCATCACATCCATTTCTGGATATTATTCAGCCTTCTTTGGTTCAATCCCAATTCCATCTTGATATCCTGTAACTTGTGGACTTAAAATATGAACCACCGTCTATACCCTCCATCAGTTCTCTACCTTGAGAACACTGACATTTTGGGCAAAATAATGTCTGTTGTGGGGGACTTTTCTGTGCATTGTAGGATGTTTAGCAGCCTCCTGTACTCTATCCACTAGATGCAGTAACACTCCCCCTTCCCAACTCATGGCAATTGAAAAAGTCTCTAGAAAAATGTCTCTAGACATTGCCAGAGGTCTTTGTATTAGTCCGTTTTCACACTGCTATAAGGAACTTCCTAAAACTGGGTAATTTATAAAGGAAAGAGGTTTAATTGACTCAGTTCTGCATGGCTGAGGAGGCCTTAGGAAACTTACAATCATGGTGGAAGGGAAGCAGGTACCTTCTTCACAAGGTGGCAGGAGGGAGAAGTGAGATTGCAGAAAAAAACCGACACTTTTAAAACCATCAGGTCTCATGAGAATTCCCTGTCATGAGAAAAGCATGAGGCAAACCATCCCCATGATCCAATCACCTCGCTCCCTGTAAATGTGGGAATTACAATTCGAGATGAGATTTGGGTGGGGACACAGAGCCAAACCATATCAGTCCCCCACGGGCCAAAATCACCCCTGGCTGAGAATGATCACCATACATAAAACAGAAGAGGAAAGGTAGAGGGGAAGAAAAGTGCAAATGGTTACATAATAGGACAAGGACAAAGCATTTGATGCCTGTTGGAATCTTCATTTCTGCAATGAGCCTAAGGCTGTCGTTGATATTTACAACTACCTTTTTTTTTTTTTTAAATTTTTTTGAGATGGAGTCTTACTCTGTCACCCAGACTGGAGTGCAGTGGTGTGATCTTGGCTCACTGCAGCCTCGGCCTCCTGGGTTCAAGCGATTATCCTGCCTCAGCCTCCCAAGTAGCTGGGATTACAGGTGCACACCACCGTGCCTCACTAATTTTTGTATTTTTAGTAGAGATGGGATTTTACCAAGATGGCCAGGCTGGTCTTGAACTCCTGACCTCAAGTGATCCACTCACCTTGGCCTCCTAAAGTGCTGGGATTACAGGTGTGAGCCACCACACCTGGCCACAACCTTTCTTCATGACCCCCTCCACCTTCTCTTTGCCTTCAGCCTGTACCATGGCTGATCAGGGTGTTTTCCCTGGTAGAGTGACACAAATTTTCAACTCTATAGGATTTGAACCATTAGTGAATCTGCAGAAGTTTTTGTTATGAGTCCTCAGTTCTGTTCCTTCCAAATCTGGGACTATTGGGCATCATCATCACTACCATCATCCATTACAGATAAACTTACACAGTGCTTACTATGTTTCAGGTGCTAACTAAGTACTTTACCTATATTAATTCAGTCGACAGCATAGAACTTTATGAGGTAAGATAGTATTATTATCTTCTTTAAAATTGTAAGAAGAGGTAATAGGTGTACAGAAAGTTTAATAACTTGCTTAAGGTCACATGGACTGTAAGTAGCAAAGCCAGGCCTTGAACCCAGGCAGTCAGCTCAAATCTAAGCTCTTAACTCCTAAGGTAATAATACTTCTCACAACAGCTAAACTGTTATCCAAGGCCCTTGTGTAGAGCCACAGTTTAGAACAACTCTCCACAAAACAAAGTGGACTAGATGTGCCCCTGAAAACTCTATCTGCTTGGAGGGATCTCTTTGCATTGTCTTTCAGTGACACGCATGTGTGGGCTGTGATGCTGCAGCAGTCCAATCGCAGCTGGTACCACATCATGCAGAACCCTCTGTGCGCTGAGCTCAGAACCCCTCAGCAGGCCATGGGTGTGAGTGGAGGGAGAGTCTGGGGTCACTGGAAGTGGGAGTCTCCTGCTCGTTAGACCCACTTCTGTTTCCAGGCTATGCTTGAGCTTGAGGCCATGTGGGCACCTTTGACTTAAGGATGAGGAATGACTTTGCAAGCCCAGCCCATGGCTTGGTGGATCAGGCAAAACTCAGTTCTTTATGAGTATCTCAGCTTGTGTTCTGCAGAGGGTATGGTGCTACAAAGTACCACAGACTTGGGGAAAGCCCTGTGAGATATGTGTATCTCACAGTTGTGGAGGCTGGAAGTCCAAGATCGAGGTGTCAGCAGGATTGGCTCCTTCTGAGGGACTTCTTCTCTCTGTCTTCAAATCGTCTTCTCTCCGTGTGTGTCTGTGGCCATATTTCTTCTTCTTATAAGGATACTGGTCACAATGGATTAGGGACCACTCTA